TATAAATAAATGAATAATCATTTAATTGAAAATATAAAACGTTATCATATACAATTAACATTTAAATGTATTAATTATTTATAGAATCTTTAGGTGCAGGAGATTTTACTATCCAAGGAGCAACAGATGGTAATTCGAATTTTAGAATCCAAGGGGCAACCGATGGACACTCGAATTTCCAAATCCAAGGACCATCTCAAGGTGCAATTTCGACGTTCAACGTTCAACCACCTACAGATGGACACAGTCAGTCAGTTATTAGAGGACCATATGATGCTAATCAGGCTGCACAATCTAAATCCCTTCAGTATAACGATCCCAGTGGTATAGACAATTTCTCAGAAATTTATTTGGATTTTCTACAAAATTATTAGAAAAATCACAATAGAATATATTTGTTATTGTTGTACATAGGATTGAGAGTAAATTGGAAATCGTATGGACACGACCGACAACCAAGATTACGTCAACCACAAGCAGAACCTCATTATGCTGAACAAACAGCATTGGCATCACCCCAACGATCAGCACCACCACCACCACCACCCCCACAACACCATGCTCCAGTTCACCCACCAATTAACCAACCATCTTACAGACCCTACAATGATGCACCAGCTCAGATTAAACAATTGCTTCAATTCCAGGCACAAATTCCATACGTCAATGCAATTCCTGAACAATTCAGGTATACCTTAAACGTTCAATCGATCAAACAGTTCAACTAAATACAATTGAAAATTGATTTTCATTACAGATACGATCATTTGGCAGCTGCACAAGCCCAAGCACAGCAAGTTCAATCCAGTTATCAACAGGAACAATCACCAAGACCAGAATATCGTGGATCGAAACCCCGTGGACCACCCAGACACCGAAGACAAGCACCTCAACAACATCCACATGCTCGTCAACAACAACAACAACAACAGCAACCACAATATCAAAGATTATCTCAACCACCAGTAGAACCTACTCCCCAATACTCAACCAATTTACCGAATAATTTGCAAGCCCTTTTAAAGTATCAAGCACAAATACCTTACAACATTATTGCAAATCAAATCAGATACGTACCCGATAAACCTTACGTACCGCAACCGATTCAACATCAGCAGCAACAACAACAACCCAGTGCTCCACCCCAAGCTGCTGAATATCAAGGCCAAGGTGATGCCTATCAAGGTCAAGCTAGCACGTACACCCAAGCACACTTAAACCCATATCAGGGATACCCTCAAGAACAATCTGGCTATAATCAGGGACAAGGAGTTCGTCCTGTTACTGAAAATCAATACTGAATTAATTGAGTGATGAGAAATTATTGTAATAGTTCGTTTGATAAAAAAAAGAAAAAAAAAGAAAAGGAGACGATTGATGGATCTCTTTTTTTTTTTTTTTCTAGTAATTCTTTTTTATTTCTACTTTTTTCTTTATTATATTAATTAAAAAATAATGGAAGTTCGCGTGTATCGCGAAATCGTTAATGTTATCACAATCGCAGTATAATTTATTATTTTTTATAATTATTATTATTATTATTATTAGTATTAGTATTATTATTATTATTATTAAGATTATTATTATTTTTGAGTTATATAAAATTACTTCTTTTTTTATTTCCTATTTAATTTTCATAGCAAATATCAAAGGGGATAAGTAGAGTATGGAAATGTATGTGTTTTTGTTTTTTTTTTAATGCGAGAGATTAAATTGTGCGTGCGTGGTTCGTTTTTTTATCTATTTTTTTTAATACAAATATATATATATATTTTGATTTATTATTATTATTATCATTATAATTATATTACCCATGTTTTTTTTCAATAAAATGATAAAGTACTTTAAGAGACACGTGTCACGTGTTCATATGCGTGAGTTGGCGGATAAGATTGTTCGAGATATCCTTCATTCTTTGTTTGAATTTTTATTTTGTATTTTTTTTTTTTTATTTTAATTTGCAACACACTGCGCGTGTGTTAACAGAAATAAATATATTTTTTCTCTGGAATTTTTGTTGAATTTTACTCGGTGATTTATTGTCTCAGGAGGAAAACAATTTGTGCAGATTCGATTCGCATAATCTTTCCCAATGAATTTTTTATATATATACTTTAAATATATAGATCTTTATCGTAATATCAAAGTTGATCATTTCTAAATATAAAAAGTTCAATTTGCAAATAAATTTCTTAAAGATAAAGATTGCAATCAATAAAAATCAACGACAACTGTCTCGTACGTTGTTCTTTTGTTTTTTATTATTATTATTGTTATTTTTTTTTTTGATTTCGCGTTTGTGTACAATCATTTAAATGCGTTTGGATAAATTATGTCTAAAGAATTATGTCAAATGGGAGATCCTGTAAGAATTTTTGAAAGAGACACCAAATGTGTCTCAGTTCGAACACAAACCGGTTAGAAAATAACGCGAATTATAATTATTATTAAAAATATTTCATGATAAATAAATCGATTGAGATCTATCTCGTTTGAATCATGATACATTAACCGATAGTTACACACATGTGTTAGTTAATATTTTCATTTATATTTGCTTTTATTTTCTATTTAAATATTATATTTAATTGCTGGAAAATAGTGGTTATGGCTTTTTCTGATTACGTATGTTTAATATCATTTGTTAATATTTAAGAATTTGATCTAAACTTTCACGCGACTGTAAGATTATCTAAACTGGTTTGGGTTAATAATAAAAAAAAAAATGAAATGGAAAAAAACATGTATTGGTATAATAATTTATTGTAAATTTCTAATTTGTTTTCTTTTTGTTTAATATTAACATAGATTAGATAATAATATAGGTAACGTTTACATACGTAACTAAACTTTATTAATAATTCTAATAATTGCAAATATATATATATATTTATTCTTTATAT